CGGTCTAGTTCTTATTATGTCTGCTGATTGGTTTTGTAGCTCTAGACAAATGCTTTCCTTTTGCTCCATTTTGATTTTATCTGACTAGTTTACGTTCTTTGTTTGCTGTCGAGACGTTTTGCACTATTTAATGTAGTTACCTCATTTTGATGGGTATAGTGGAGATTGGTTGAACTTTTATAGCTGATTGGGGCTATCTCTCGAGATTGGGAAACATTTTTAAACTGCACTTTTTAATTTACACTAAAACTGTAAAAAGGTCATAAAATAATAAACTATAAAAAGGCTTTAATAAACATTAAATAGTAATGTGAATGAACTTAATCTAAAAATACATGATCGATTTTATATGCTTACGGGAACATCGCATTGGGCAGTAAGAAATATTTTTGCAATTTCCGACACTTTCAGTTAAATTTTATTTAATAAATAATCACCGCATTCGTTGAATATCTATTTCTAAATTTATTCTTTGTTCACCAAGAGTACCTACATATTTTCTATATTTCTCGGGAGCGCTAGGTCACCGGAAACCTATGTGAAAAATTTCATTAATTCCACATGGGTCGCCCCGTCTAGACTCTTAGAAGGTTTATGGCTGGCTACTAAGTATTGCTTCTAAGTTTCTACATGCAATAATTTGTATGTATACGTTTACTGGTCGTTCTAGGTTATTTTTGGTCATAACAGAGATTTAAACAATTTTGTGAATAATAACATAGAAAGATCTTATAATCTCTCTATGTATATAGTTAAGTATATATGCAAAGATATTGTAACAACTTTAGATGCCTTAAAAATATGAATGAATATTGCATGAACATGTAAACTAATGCCTCTCTCATTTCATTTATCGATATTCTCCGAAATTGTCTTTTAAAATATATTGACGAATTTGAAATTGCTTTTAGTATATAAAAATAAGTTATATTTTGAATGATTTGACGAAGAAATCTAAAAGAAGAGCACATTTGTTTTCAATTGCTCGGCCCACGTGATGGTGACAGCAGACGTCCAGGGACTGTCGTGTCAATCCGCTGCTCATTGTCAAGGGACGTAAATTAACGGAGTAACTGGATCGAGAAAATGGAATTTTACTAGTCGCTGTCGGCTTTTATTCCTTTTTATATTTCTCTACATGCCAGCATTGTGATATTACTAATTCTGATTATATACAGGATCTACACTATGACTATCTGAGCTATGACTATCCAATTCAAGCTTGCAAATGTGCAAATTATCAGTAACTAGTTAGATCAGTTATTAGTATTCTGAATGTTTCAATTTTCTGAGAAATCTTCTTAATTTTTTGTTTCGTATGAACCTTACTCATTATTAAGTTAAAACGTAACCAAGGGATTATCAATATAGTAATAGAAATTAATTTTTACAATATAAATATATAGATGGCTATTTTTTAAATATATTGTTTCAAAAATGCCAAAGAAGTCGAGAAGACTAACTCGATGAGTATATAAACAAAGTTATTTAATTTTTAACAAGAAAAGATCTTGACTTGTGATTTGCGAGCTTATCTCTATTGTCGAAACGTTGTCAAATATTTCATTTCCTATAATCGAATTTCAAAAATAGAAATTACTAAACTGCCTGTGATATATTAAATTTAGAATTTTATATATAACTTCAACTATTAGGTTCGTTGAGGAAAATCTGTTAATATCTATTAAAGCAAAGGTCATATCCTCTAATCCACTCAGTTATAAATTATATTTGACTTTAAGAACCTCTTCAAATAACGAATTTACAGTTTCATTATGATTGTAACATTAGAAATGCTAACATCCATTTCCTGAGTAACGTATTGCTTGCTATTTTAAATCAACTTCTACAAAACCCTTTCCTTTCCCGTCCCCACTATTAGTCCTCTGCAGTATTGTTACATGTATCTATTGTGTGTGACCGCAATATATTAGGATATGTTTAGTTTGTTTGTTTGTATTACTTATTTGCTTAGCGGGGACCTTTTATAAATGGTAGCGGTCGGTTCGCTTTATTGCCAGTGCAAGTAACAACTCTACTAATTTATTATCATCTTTTTATGCTTTCTCGTGTTATTCGGCTGCCATAGATTTTATCTTTCTGAGTTATATTTATAGCTCGGGATACGGCTGCGGTATCGGATGAAAATAAAATTTCTCTTTTATCCATAACGCCCGGCTCTGACTATTAGGGGCCGTATTATCAATGGTTGAATAATTAGCATACGAGCATAACCTATGGACGTATTTTTATACATACATCACTATCCACCTTGGCTTTACTCGGATGTATTACAGTGTATGTGGCGGAGGTCATGTAACTATGTTCAAAGGCATTTATGATATTAAATGCACGCTTGTCTTATACACATAAACGTTTCAGAGTAAACTTTCAAAATTATAGTGAAAACCATATGAAAATCCTTTGCGTGGTTTAGAAGAAGTAACAAACATATGAAAACAGATACACATTGTTTAAAAATATGGTATTATAATAGGAAATGCTGATTTTAAACATTGGGGTAAAACAACGAATTTAATGACGATGTTAATGATGCTACATTTGTTAGTAGTTTAATATGTTCCTAAATCACTCAATGCGACAAAACTATACGGATCGCTGACTATGTCACTCTTTTTTGTTTGTGTTAGTTAGGGGAGTCTTGCCACGTGCGTCTATTTTTCATTTAGCATTAAATCTATTATAGTATACGCTCTTATTACGAGGGTCTAAGGTTCATCGCCAGTGATTTAGAACAAAACAAAAAACGTCAAACTATCGGATGCTGGTTGTCAGTCATGAGTGAAGTGTCAAGCAATCCCTAGTCCACTTTTTCGCATGATTGCACACCTGTTTAGGGTTGTCTCGGGGGATGCTAGTTAATAGAAATAAATGGATTTATAGTTTAGAAATTGAATTTGGGTAAAATCAACGACTGATGTGAAATTGGATTTCGTTGTGATCAGACAAGTTTGTGGTTAACATATCGATTTGTTTTTAAGCTACTGAATTAGTTAATATGTTTACTTGCTTATGTACGAGTATATGAACTAATAAACGAGAACGTGGGCATAAGTTTGTGTCTGACAAAAGTTACCATTTGTTTATTAATCTGAAAAATGGCGGTTGAAGTATGATTGACGAAATATGAATATTTGTGTCTATCAGTCTATATTTAAACATGAAAGCATTTTTATTTTTTTATCGCAATACTTCGTAATCATACTTTATATAATGTATATTGTATTTAGTAAATACGAAAAATAACTGCTTGTTTTAACAAAAGATCGCTTCATCAATACGGTGAATGCTCACAATACATATTTCAATAGCAAGCAACTTGAACATTCAATCTTCCAGCGAGATTTTGATTAACTTTCAAATAATGCAGTCAGAAAAGAATGAAATGATACTGAATGTTCACAAAGCGATGATTACATGCCATCGTATCCTTGCCGAGTCATTGTAGACTATTACAGTTAATCTGCATTTCACAAGATCAAATTGAACAAGTGTAAAAGAACCGGATTCTTTGTTGGTATAGAATACAAAACCGGTCGAAACACTAGCAACTTCCGGAGAGTAAGAAATAAGTTGTAGACGGAATAGTTTCATGTTCTTATTTTTGTTTGGCTCGCATACCTTTTTTATTCTTTTTGAATTCACGTCTGACGGTATTGGTTTTTCTATACGGGTTTCTATGTTTCTTATTATTTTTATCTATCTTCATATTCAATCAGTCTAATAAATTTTTTTGCTACTGAATATATTTTATTCTTAATTCTCTTTGCTCAAACTATACAGTAAAAAGTTAAAAATGTCAACGACCTTAGAGACTCTAAGTAAAGAACTCGGAATTTCCTTAATGAAGAATTTAATAATTATTAACAATATTGTTTATTATATTACACAAAATTTTGAGTATAAGATGTTAATATCGAATATTCAAATTAAAATTTCATTAAACAATCTTAATGTACCTATATTATACTTAATTTGTATCAAAATACCATGGTATTAGTTTAGTTTTGTTTTTTCTTCCTTATATATTTGTGACTTTCATTGTACAAAGGGGTCTAGATAATTATTAATTACATTTTATTCCGTCTTATTGTTGATGATAGTCATCTTTTACTCATGGATTCTTCGATCTCTGTCCCAATTTCTTCTTAACTTACATAGAAAATACATTTATTATATTATTCACGTCTTATAAACTTAAATTTTATCAGAAATGCTTTATAAGGTACAATAATCACTCTATTCTATCGAAAAATCTTTAATTCGTTTAGTAATTTAGCCATATTTTATTTGTACTTTTTAACTACAAGCAAAGAATGAAGCAAAGAAAGATTAATGATACTGCTTATTGAGAATCTGGGACCTATAGATACTATATATAACTGAAGAGAATTAGCGTCTAAATCTAGATCGAAGCCAGATAGATTAATAACTGGAATAGAACAGGAAATTAGTGCAAAGAGACTCATCTGCACAAAGGAAATGACGCTTTAACAGCAGTCAGCAGATATCTACGATAATATTACATTCTATTATATACTTGCTACAGATATAATATGAGCCAGTAAGCATTGTTATTATGCAATTTATAAATAAAGTATTATAAATTTATAGAAGCATATAGCATTATAACTCAATAATAAAACATTTGTCAATAATACTAACATCATTAAATATTAGAATCCTTGTCACATTTAATGCTAAAAATTTTTAGATATTGAGTGATTTAATAGTAACTTAAAATGGAATATAAATATATTCGACTGTATTTGATATTTATCCAAATCTGGACAGGCATGAACCGAAAAATTTGCAACACAAATCGCCACTGCAGTCACTAGTGCAGGCTTTTTGTTTGCGGGTTAAAAGAAACCTGCTGATTAGCATATTCCATAGGATTCCCACCCCCTTTGCGGTATAACGGGGACATTTCGTCCCAAATACATAACACTGTCTCAACCCTCTCGCCGACACATTACCGATTAAAAGTACACTGTTACCGCCGATTTATCGCCGTACAAAATGTTGTTACATATCATTATTCACAATACACGACGCCTGGGTAAAGCTGAACACTAACACAATCCATCAAAACACATTTTAGTAACAGAGGGCACAGCGTGTAACACTCACTCGCATATCTACATTACATTTGGAGCTTTTATTGATAAGATTTTTGTGGTTTATTTTGTTGTAAATTGAACGGTGAATGGAATAAAATGCGCTGTGAGCGCGTTCGCGGCGCGCACACAACTGAACTGAAGTGAGAATCCGGGGCTAGGGGTAGCCCGGCCGGCGATGTCGGCCGAACACTTGTCTAGTGCGTTCCATTCCACGTAATATTGATCGCTGATAATTTTAACTTTGAAAAATTAGATAAAGAATATTAAAAATGGCTTGATTATGATAGTGAATGCGATTTTACTTTTGACACATTTTTGTTATATTCTTATTTAGAATATTTTATTAAGATCACATATTTTTATATAAGGATATTTCACAGTAGTATAAAATATAAAAAATGTATTATATTAAACATAAAGTTAAATTCTCAAACAATATTATGCAATAAAGTTTTATATTAATTTTTAATATAAGTTACATATTCAAAGAGATTTTAATATGTATGCGTGAAATGGAATACGATTGAACAGCAGCAACACTGCCGCCGTCTCTCTCATACGATTGGTGTGAAAAAGTGACAGCATGGTGCATTTTTCAACCCTGTACCTACCCTTCTCAATGCAGGGTTGCGTTGACCACTCAGAGATGATCTCACGTTTTGTTAACTGTAGTCTACATGTATTTCTTAAATCAGCAGCGTGACGAGTCTTATTATATTGGCCGGGTATACGAAATATAGGGCCCCGATTTTAGGGCTCACAAATTAGAAAGGGGAGAAAAAACACTCGAACGTCAGGTTTATTGACATTTTGCCAGGCGATAATTAAGGCTTAGGCAAGGGACTACAGTGTTATCGGCACACCGTTAAAATTTAAAGGTTGGATTTTCGTTTCAATTACATGGTACTAATTGTATCTTAATGAGGCTGTAATTTTTATGGGCACCGCTGTTTTATGGGTGTTCAATCCTCTTTTAGTTGTGGTTCGATTATTTTATGCCCGTCGTTATCATCAAGTCTAACCTTTATCCACTTAAGAGGGGTAAAGTTAATAAAGTACTAATTTTTAATTTGATTTTACGAAATATAGTGATTGTAATCGGTAAGTAATGTTTATGAGGTATAGTTAAATATTAGCAGTATAAAAACCGTTAATTATTCTTTTTGTGTCACGGAAGGGTAACTCCAATATTATTATTGTACTAGTTTTTATGATTGAAACTTCCTTTTGTTTAGAATAAGAATTATAAAAATTTATACAAATAAATTCTACTATACAAAATAATAAGAGGAGAATGATGATAACATCTTGCCTAGTCCAATTGTCATCCCAAGCTGTCACGGTGCCCCCTCCTAGCCATAACCTATAACAGAAGGGCTCTGGCGACCGAGGAAGTGGCGGTATAACTACTAACCTTACCAGGCGATTGAAAAGGAGAGGCTGCAGCGACCTTGGGGAATAAATGACGTCAATATGTCAGCAGAAGGCAAAGGGAAGCTACTGCTACAAATCTCTCAAGAAAGTTATTATGGAAGTGCAAATACCCAAAGGAGGTTTATATATATATATATATATATAATATAAATTTGAAAAAAATCTAAATGTGTTCTATTTCACTTCTAACATCCGTCTGACTCGGTCAATGGCCTTTTTTCTATGTACGGACTTTTGACCTCTACTGTTTTATTATATGTATAGACAAGTGTGAGTATAGAACAAAATGAGAAATTCTAAGATTTATATTGTATCTAATAAATGCAATGTTGCAAGTAATATTATAAATGAGCAACTACATTATGTTTGTTCGTTTCTTACTTTTTCACAACTAAACGGCTGAACAGATCTTAATAAAATTTGCTTAATGGCTATCATTTATCTCAAAAAACAATTATTTGATGGCGCTGGCAACAGATAGTTTATGTAATCACAAATTATATAGAGAATTCTAAAGCATTATATTTGATTTTAGCATTAATACTGACGGCCTCGGTGTATAGTGGTTTAGCATACCGCTTCACTCTCGGTAGTCGCGGGCTCGATTCTTCGCACGGTAGAAACATTTGTACTTATTCATATGTATGATTGTTTGTATCGGTCTGGGTGTTTTTATGTATGTATTTGGAAAAAATAGGTATTTAAGTATATATATGAGTTGCCTAGTACCCATAACACAAACTCTGCTTCGCTTCGGACTAGATGGCGTTGTGTGGATTGCGCAGGAATATTTTCATTATTATATTAATTCATTTTAACCGCATTTTACTACTATCAACGACACCTGTACTTTACTCGCTGTAACTTAATATATGTTTTAAATTTACGCAGCGTATGTGGTTAAGCTTTGCTTATTTGCAACTTAGTTTATTTATCAGTTTCGTGCGTATATACTAGATGGCGCTAGTTACATGTAAGTTAGAACTTTCATTATATAAAAACGGAGAAGATTCGAAGAATATTTTTTTTCGAAGATTATTTTACTGTCTTCTTACTTTATATGAATTTATATATCAGTTCTATATTTAAAAATACTATAGGAACAAATAATGACACTTATTGTAATCCATCCACATCTTTTGCCTACTTTTTATAGCATCTATGTCATTGCTCTGCATATTTTTATATATTAATTTTTGAAACAATTTTGAATTTCTTTTCATGACAGTTTGTAGAGTATATAAATTTAAAGGACATATGAGAGGAGATATGCTATTAATTTCTGTTCATAAGATGTAAATAAATATATATAAAGTAGTTTTTGAGTGTGATATTGTGATCTTCTAAGTGATAGGTACCCTATGAATAAGGAAAGGAAATGTTCGTAGGTCGTTTGAATTTGGGATAATACCATAAATATGTGAAACAGTATATTTATTTTTAGAAATTAAATGGCAAACTTTCTTTCGCCTGATGGTAAGCCGTAAATGTCGTAAATATAAGTAATTTATAAACAGCACTACGGACATCACGTTATCACATTACAATCTAGAGTCTAGATCCTGCCTCTGATCCTGTAATTTCACTGCCTAATCACGCCCTACAGTCGAAATAAACCTTACAAAGCTTGATGGCTGGAATAAATGCGACTTTTTCGGTATATCTCCGTCAAATTTAATAAATATTTGTTTGAAAAGAGCCAAGTTTTTCCATTGTTATCGAATTTATTTAAATACTATATGGACTAAAAAATACGTTAGCTATATATGAAACAACGTTAGTTTTAAATTGAATTCAATTACTATATTCAACTATTATTTGCCTGATGATGCCTCGTATAGAGGCGAAACACGTGTGGCGCTACTTGTGGCGGTGGTCAGGTTTCCGCACTGAATATTTGTAGTCTCACACATGTTAATAGTAGAATTAAATAAAATAATATAAAACCATTATATAATATGTATATAATATAATGGACTTTCTAAAATAACACCTAATTCGATAAAATATATTTAAAGGACTTCCTTTTAGACCTTTGTTAGAGTTTGCTTTCAGCAATAAGACCGCTTTATTGTAATTATACATATGTTCTTATATATATATATATTATTTATGTCTTCTTTTTACTGTATGTTATGAATAAAGTATATTCTATCCTTTCTATCTAGTTTTATATTTGTACTGTTGTACGTGTAAAGCCGTACTACTAAAGTAGTCAGTCCAACTCCTAATATAAATCGAGTTTAGTTTCTGATATACTCATATATATCAGCGTAATGACAAACAGCTTCTGGCAGACTGACGTTCTGAATTTCATGTTATGTATTCATTAAATGCACTAACTGAGATTGTAATCGGTTTTATGGTTGTATTGTTTTCGTGTTTTAAAGGATGTTCAATAAAATAACAAAACTAATATAAAATCCCATTTAATTTTTTCGTATTAAATAAATCCAATTAAAAATCGAATATTTTATTAAAAAAATAGGTATATAATGTATACAATTTCTTCATTAGATTCCTTAATTACTTAGTCTATATATATATACTGTATACAATACCTATTATATAAGTAATACAAATTCGCTACAAGTGACTGGTATGTTTTTTAAAACATTGGCATTTTATAATACGAGATTCCATTCCCGCATCCTTCCCATCCGGAGCCGTATAATACATGAATTTATACAAAATGCCGACGTTATATCGTTCGATAAATTTGAGATATGCTATCTTAATCGACAGTCTCCGGTACCTGTGGTAGACTATTCTGATTACTCCTAAAGATAACTTGGAGCTTACACAATTATCACATTAAGCTATAGATATCAACTTTATATATCTCATACTATGAACATATCTATGTACAACGTCCCGAAACAAAATTACACATTATTTATATACATTTAAGTACAAAATTTTCATAATTACACCATTACCAATCAGATCATTATTTCTGTGTATAACAAAATGATAAATCTAATTATATATCACATAACAATATAAAAGGGATTATCTTTTTGTATTATGGTTATTGTTAATTATTTGTGTCAATATATAGGTAATGACATAAATAATATAAAACAAGTGTGTACAAGTGACAACATTATTCTTGCACTAATTGAACTACAATATTTTATGTTTACGTTCACAATATGGAAATTCCATTGAAATATTACAAAATAGTATCAAAAAGATTATTATTATTATTATTTCTTGCATTTATTTTATATTTATAGAAATTTATTATTTATACAATATGTGTACAAGTGACAACATTATTCTTGTACTAATTGGACAAAATAATTTAATCTGTACAATTATTGTTATCTATTACTAAATAAAGCTTATTACTGGACGGAAATTGAAACTAAAACTTAAATAGTAGATAAAAAAGGAGTTGATTATGAGGTAGTTCAAAAATAAAGGGTTAAATCAGACAGTCATAGAGTCAAAACGGTTAACAATGAAGGTTTAAAGATGGAATATTATCGAATGAAGTAACATTCTTAAATTATCCAGGTACTTGATTATAATTATCACTTAAACCTATTTAATTCCGAGCAACTCCTAAATGATTAGTTTCATTGACATTGATACGGTTTGAAGTATTATTAAATTCAACGGGTAATGGAAGTAATATGGAATTACCGTGTGATATTGCAGTCTTTTGGTATACAATCTCCTTCTGTGGATTTACCAACCGCATTGCTATCTTTGGCAGTTATTAATGCTACCATAGACACTTTTACCTAGCAAAGCTATTTCAGATAAGAAACAGAACTCACAACATGTCACAATTACAATCAATCAACAATGAAAACAACAAGACGACCAAATTATTGTAGCTTTTCTTTATCTGTAGCGTTTGCGAGTCCATTCGTATATCCATTTTTGATGTGACCATTACTGCAATCATTAGGTTTTGTGTAACCGTTGGCATATAGGCCATTGGCTTGGACCTCGCCATTGGTAAGTTGACCATTAGCCTCACCATTCACTTTTATGTGGCTGTTGTATTTGTTGTGACCATTTGATATATTGTTGTTGTTGGTTACTTCCACTGCTTTCTTATCTTTGCCAACAACTTTGTCATACGCGTGCATGTAGAAGTTCATGAACAGCACGATGAAAATCATTGAGTGGAGGATGAGGCCGGATGCAATAAGTCTGGAAAGAAAAATATATATTTTATTTTTTCATTTATAGTTTGTAAGGACTTAGCGTGAAAGTAGATTGCAATTCTATTTTTAACTAGCCGACCTAAGGTTCTTGAATAAAATAATATTGCGATTATAAATTGAGATGTAAGCTATCCTACATTTTTAAATTGGATCAAATTGCACACAACGTGCAAATCAAATTTGCAATCGGTTCAGTAGTTTAGGAGTCCATTACGGACAAACAACGTGACACAATTTATATATTTTTTACATATAAAGAAGTAGATTAGGCTAGGATTTTATATAAGGAGAGCCTATATAATATTAGGTCGGTCTTCATATTCTCCTTTGTGCTTAATTACCGGTGAAATCACAACCATGGCATAACTAATATCACCTCACTTTATTCTCAATCTATCTTCCATTGCTTTATCATCATTCATAAATATTATAACATATTAAAATTAAATTATATTCATAAATATTCAATATTTACTAAATATTGTCCTTCAATATTAAGCAAATACATATTTGCTTAATATGACGATGCATTGAGAATTAACAAGAATAATGTGTACAAAATTAAAATATTCTTATAATTTCCAACAGTAATATTATTATATATGTAATATAAACTCTATTAGTATGCAGCAGTTTCACATAAATTGATTACGAAAATCGTATCTATTGCGTTGTGTTTTAAGTTTAGAATCATTAATCTTAAGAAAAAGAGGTCATAACACATAGGTGAGATCAGAAAGTGATGAATAATTAAACTGATACCAACACCACACAGGTGACTGCATAGAGTAGACAAGTTGAATTATATATTAACATTAACATTATTATCTTTGAGTATACAATATGGCAATTAAATAAAATTTATTTGCAATAAACTGTAAACTGAAAATAACACTAAACTGACCGTATCATTTGACATTTAGTAGCTGTTTAACTGCCCTTTGAACTTTTGTACGCAAATTTTAAGTCGTGATTGATTATTTACTATCAATAATAATTTATATTAGCAGTTTGTTTCACGTATAAAAGAATTGGACAAATTATATTTTATGTCAAAGATTACAACAAAATAATAATATTACTACCTGGACATAATACCTAATCTAACTGTATAAAACGCAACTAAATTGTACATAACTTATAATTTAGGTTAATATAATAATAAGTAAATATATATATAATAATAATAATAATAAGCCAGACTTTAAAAAAGTTTATATATAAACCAGGTTTGTTAAATAATTTTAAATTTAGAACTTGCCTTATCTAACAGCAATGTAATAAAATGCCTGAAAACCAGCGCTGTATAGGTACATCTCATTAAGGTTGTGCTTATATCAGCAACAGCTGAGGCAGCTCCTATTGTCAACTTCTATCTTATCATTTATTTCCTATTTTGTGTCTTATTGTAAATTGTATTATTTGTGTTATGTTGGCAATAAATCAATTATCTATCTATCTATCTAAAATGAATTTATTTTTTCAATTGTTTCTGCATGTTTTTTCTTGCTTGCCAGATTCGCGTCTTATTTGCAACTTATTGTCAATAAGAGGCGATAATTTTGCATTTTTGCGAGGCAAGTTTTACAGTGCAGAATTATTTTAGAACTGACACACTTGAAAAGAATAACATGACATTGAAAAGAATGTCATGTTATTTTAAATGTTATATTATTTTTAGATGTCAGCAATTTTTTTTTTAATATTTGGTAAGGGTTATGAAGTTTGTTCAGTAATCGTTGGTAATTATAAAATAAATATAATATAGCTAACATTTACAGCTAGTTAGCTTTTATTCTGTTTTATGTAATAAATTATTTTGAAATATAAAAAAAATGTAATCCTTCGATATATTCTCCTTTAAACCCTCGTAGTTGATTTAGATGATCTAACCGCTTTAGCCAAATTGGCTTAATTTTATCATCCTACTTTTATCTTTCACTGACATTAGCATGTGCGAAATCAAGATTTCATCATCATCACCAAAAAAAAAAACTACATAAAAGCAGTTTCAATCGTACGCTGCATTCGCAGAGAGTTATCATTACAAGTGTGGTTGTCAATATATTCTGTATATCGATCTACCCGGAAGCGAAACAGCTGTAACTTTTTAATTATACATATCTTTTATACTAATGGTAGTGACAAGCTTACGGCCTGCCAACTAGAAAGTGGTAATCAGCGTATGTCGTTAGACATGAACAGAGACGTGAACCAGTTATGTTTATATCCGCTATAACAGAAGTTCCTTTCTTATTGTAGCAAATATATAATGCATTTATGTAATTCAAATTCAAAAACTATAAATCATTAATTCACATAGGATCCTTTGGTCTTTCGTGTATGTCATATTTTTTAACATTATCACTATCGTTCAGTTCCGCTAGCTGATATTATTAATTATACAAGAATTATAATTTACATGCCTCCTGATTATGAGGTGAATATTTGTACTTAACACAAGTAAGGTCTTTTAGGTTACTATTATTTCGTTTTGGATTTGAACAGCACTACGTCATCATGTTACGTTACATCACGTTATCATGCCCCAGAGTTGTTCTTCTATATAGACAACAAATACTACGTGGGTCGTAAGATTATATGCCGTTATTATTCACTAAAAAATCTACTGAATAGTCGCTAACAAGTTAGGATATGTCTCTGAGTTAATCTATACTGATATTATAAATTCGTAAGTTTGTCTGTCTAAAAGTTAATGTGAAGATAGTTTACATTACAAGGATAGATATATAGGCTGTATCTTTTCTTAAATAAACGGAGAAAGTCGCGAGTAAGAGCTAGTTACTAATAAAATACTCGTTAGTTACCAATACCGTCTCACCGTTAGATTGGCTGGAGATCTCTATTTGCTATCTCAAATAGTTATTTATATTAAAATATTCCTTTAAAATACATCTTTTTGAAAATGGAACATGGAATATAAAGCAGCTATATAGTCATTTCTTTTTAAAAGATAAACAAATTTTTCTCGTACTTTCCACGGTATTGAGAATAAAGACATAAAACTTTTGCTTATATTCTTTTTCAGTATCTATGATTGCGTATCAAATGTAATTAGGGATGTAAAAGTTGTGGTATTCTTTTTGAAAGTTTATAGATTTTGCTGCATAACTAACCATTGTTAAATAATTATTTATTTTAGCAATATTTATTACTTACTTTGGATAGCCACAGTCGTATACCAGAGCGCTCATGGAGTGGAACAGCACCATGAAGAATTGGACCTGAAATTAGAAGGAAAACTTTTAATAACAGCATTGTTTTATTAATGTTGTACTAATAATAGGACTTGGAAGAAAGATTGAGTGTATAGCGGCGTTTATGTTGATTGTCGCATGCCTAATCCTTATTAATGTGTATATACTTAGAACAACATTTATTTAAATGTGGAACACGCAAGTTTCTTTCTCGTTATTCTTGTGATGAGTATGCGTTCCGAACCGAGTGGTAGAATAAAAAAAAATGCTTATGCTAAATGTTTATTTGAATAAAGATTAGAGTTAAAAGAAAGAATTAGTAAAAGAAATAGAGATACTATTTCTTTTACTTCTAGTAATACTAATTAGTACAAAAATTTTGTTATGTTTAAAGGAAAATAGAATGTTTGGATTTATTTATCTATTTAATTGTCATTTTAATAGAAACTCGTATTTTTTTGGAAACCTATATCTTTTATGCTATAATTTTTAAATATTTTTATATTTATAATATATATATATATTTTTTTTTTTTTATATTTATACTATAGTTTTATTTGTATTGAGTTCTCGATATTTCGGCAGTGTTTCAACCGCCATGATTACGGATAAACATCCCTGTAAAACGTGGTAAGATCCCGTGATTTTTTACTAATTATACGTATAAATAATGACCACTGAATGAATGAATGAAATGAAAAAATTTAATGAAATTTAAAACTGTTTTATACTGTTGTGTAAATGATTACTATTATTAAACGAGTTTCTCAATAATTTCCATACAAATGAACGGGCTAAAACCATAGCATTATTGCCGGTAGGTATATATAACGATAGCAACATCATTCATACACAACTTCACCTTGCTTCTGTCGATTGTAATCACTCGTAATTATTGTTACGTGCGGATATACGGCCAGGTAAACTCACGTAAGACGAAATTCATGCGTACACTATATTAGTGTCAATGTTACTAAACTCAGAAGTGCAATGCAATATACTTAATTAATATATTATTGCCATAACATTTTGTAGTTTCGAATACACAGTATCATTTTTAATCTTGACAATACCTGTGCTTTGTTGAAATAGTACAGAGGTTAAGACATTCTAAATTTATTAATGTATTAATAAAATGTATAGCCTATGTGTTATTCCGATGTATGAGCTATATTACTGTGAAGTTTTATTAAAATCTGTTCAGTAGTTTTTGCGTGAAATAATAACAAACCTCCATCCATACTCAGGAATTTTCGCGTTTATAATTAGTAATATAACACCATGACAATTAACACAGCACTACAATAACTTGAGAGTAGCTCAAGTTAAGCAGTCTGTATTATGAGTGATATACAAGTGATATAAATACATAGATTTTTTTGCAAGTATATACATAATATACGTAGAAAACACTCAGACCAATACAAACAATGATACTCATGTATCATCATAAATACACACGTTTGAACTGCGCGAAGAATAGAACCCGCGACCATCGGAATTAAGACAGTGTGCTTAATCACTAGACTACCGAGGCCGTCAATGTAATATATAGGGTAATAATTACTCATTTAACAAATAGTATCAAAGCATTAGTATCAATGGTTTTGCTAAAATTATTTTACCTAATCGGAACAAAAGGACGTCACAATAAAATTACTGCGGCTTATGCGTTATGTAAGTTTGTTTGTTTGACAGTTATACCCAAATTCACGCAGACTTTTACCCGGGATGAAGCTGATGAAGAAGAAGAAAATATAACTAAAGAGAAAAAAAATCTATATAACTGAGATTTGAAATTCATAACCGACTATTATTAATTGAAATTCTAGAATGTTCGAACGGGTATTGCAGAGAAAGGATACTACGTTCCGGTTGGTGTCGAAATGTTGGTCTCGCGCTGCCCTCGCGCAGCCGTTTGTTGATTACAACATGTTTGTTTTTCAATCCGCCGTTTTTTTTATTGATCAATTTTCTCTATTAATATAAGATTTATTATACCAATTATACAAAGGGTAATGATGAATGAAGGATGAGACTGTATATTGCTGTTTAATATGGAATATCCTATTTTTTTGGGAGAAATACGTAATTGAAACAATGGAAAAGATCACAAAGTTATTAATATTAGTTACAAAGTTATTATAGTTATAATAACCAATAGCTAGCTTTGCAACGGAAACCAATATAATGTTCGAATTCTAATATAATGGAAGGAAAATAGATTATAATCAGTAGTCACTACTATAATGGACGGAAAATAGGTCATAATCAGTAGTCAGTATTAATATATAAACGTTGTCAATCACTATAGTCAGAGATGAAATGGCTGAATTTTGTTATTTATTACTAGCTGTTTAATTTGGGTTTTGTTCGCAATTAATTTTACTACCTTTATAGATGTTCTACCTAGAAAGACTTTTAAAAATTTGCGTATTTTTCTGGACATTGACGTCCGTTTATGTTCATAAATGTCTAAAATGTCTTACATAAATAAATGATTTTGATTTGATAGTAAAAGTCACTAACATGAATGCGTGTTACATTCATGTTAGTTTTTTTTACAACGATGGTGGGGATCATATGGACCATTTGATGGTAAACGGTTACCGTAGCCTATCGACACCTGAAAGACTAGGGGTATTTTTTATTTAATTTGATTTGATTTGATTTGGAGTGCTCTGCAAAAAGTTAGACGTGCTTGAACATCGGAACGGCGTCCGTATAAATGCAGTCGCCGGACCTAAAGTTCGCATATCCTACGGTTTGCGCAACGACTCCCGTTCAGGAATTTAAGGTGCGGTTCACACTAATCTTATTGGCTGATGTTTTTGCAAAACGACACTTGTGCCACGGAAGTGAGTGGTTACAGAATGTTACAAGCTGATGTTTATAATTGACGAGATATGGTTAAGGTGCTTGTTTTTCCTATGTAACATGTAGACGCCATTTTTAGGTTTCATATGAAAGTGCTAGATCTCTGTGTATAGATTATATATCTATACATAAAGAACTTCTACTTCTGTATCTTATACTTATGTATAGTTATAATATACGTATATTAGTAGCCGGAATTATATAAATAGTAGGTAGATAATTTTTTTTATTCTTCCAAGTAGTCGCCATTTTTAGGTCTCATATGAAATTACTAGCACAACTAGATAGATAGAAGATAGGTTTTTATTTGCACATAGAGATAGACTTGTGTGTTTTTTTCAAAGAAATATATAATCGGCATTTTTAAGCGTCATATGAAATTACTATGTGAATTAAAAAAAAAAAATTGGTATATTTGTCGGGGAATTATTGTATAAATACATAATTCTTAATTATGTATTGAATCGAACAAAAGTTTGTAATTAATGTGTAACTTATATATTTAGTGGATATTAATATATGATGATGTGAATAAATCTATTAAACCAGATAGATTAAACTACATTTATTTTTATTATCGTAATCCCAAGTTATGATGTATTTAAATACCTATTTAAGGTTTCTTCTGATAAAGATTTGTAATTTTTTTTAAGCTATATAAATAATTAATAGAGACTGCTGTGAGTAAATCTATTAATCTGATATACGTGGTCGGGGACAAAATAACGTTTACATATGTAGGTAGTAAAAATATATAAGTAACAAATAACCTAAGTTTCCCATTTGTTATATATTTTTTTATAGCATACGCTACAAACGAGTTTGCAGCTCACCTGATAGTAAGTAATTACTGCCGCCTATGAGCACTCACTACAGCAGGAAATTTGCCGGCCTTTTAAGAAGTAATAAGCAGAAATAACAAATAAATCTTGATGGTTTCAATATTATATCGGTTCAGAAATACTATTGCTGGAAGATTAGGGAATGGTAGTATGATGGTGAATAGAGTTACGAGATATTGTATATATAATAGATTTATACTTACTAGCTGAAGGGTTGTAAGGTGCTTCTTCCACCACAGGTACTTCTGGTACTGAGGTCCCATGGCTGCCACCATGTAATAACTGTACATGATGATGTGTACAAGGTTGTTCACTATGTTCGAGAAGGTTCCGTGACCACCTAGAACAATATTATGGATTAATATTTCATTATATCTATTAAGAGAGATTTTTTTTGGCCATCTGAAGGTAAGTGGCAACAGTTGCCTAGTAGCTAGACATGAACTATTCACTACGAAGCTTTCTTTCGATGGATAGATACATAAATAGATATATAAAATCTTTATTAACATCGACTGAGACACATAGATAATATCGAAGATTCGAAGCCGCGACCATGCTATGCGTGGTGTGCTAAACCGATAGATCAACGAGGTTGACATTGCGCTGCCTTTTCTAAAAACAAAGTTATGTTTCTATATTTCGTATTCTCACTGAAATATTTGTTTGAATGTTTTTTTTTTTGTGAATTGTAAAGATAAGTTCAGCTTACTTTGCAACTAGATGGCGTTGTGTGAAAACTTCCTTATCTTAAATACAAAACATCAATCTATCAATGTATTCGAACCTGAGATAGTTGGTATTGTAATTTACTTTTAAATATCCTATAGGCTATTGTAACTGCTTACAATAAAGCCTACCGTATACTAAATTACCATCATTCGTTGAAAATAATTACACCCTTTCCAATAACACTTTGTCAATATACCGCTATTAATTGTTGTACCACTTACCAGCAATGAATTTGACAAGTAGCCACGCCTCGAATGGCGTCAGCGAGTGGTGGTACAGGTGCAGCCACGTGATCTGACTCTTCTTTTTCCTCAGCACGAAGAAGACGGTGTCGGCGAACTCTGAGAGCTTCGAGAAGTAGTACACCCAGCATAGATGCAGCATCTGCAAATTATTTTTATTTATTTATTTATTAAATCTTTAATGCACAAATATATAACTATAGATGCATATGCCGGACTTAACGCCATGAGGTATTTTCTCCCAGTCAGACATTGGGCAAACAGAGATTTATGTGGGCAGGGCATAATAAAAAAATGTTTACCATTTAAAATAATAAGAAAGAAAGAAAGAAAGAAAGAAAGAAAGAAAGAAAGAAAAATATTTGGTAATGTAAATGTTTACGATTTAAAAAAAAAACTGTGATTGTCAACGAGTCCACAATCATATCTAATACATAATATTACATAAATAAATACATATTTAAAGAGAATTTTCTCATTTTTTTGCTATATCAATTCTTGTACTTGACCGGACCAGGCAGCGACCTCTAAAAAAGGGCGAATGGATATAATAGATCTATGAAGGTCGCAGTGCTAAAGGTCTCTTTAACCCAAATCCCTAAATAAAAAAAAATACCAAATATACATAAAATTAAAGGTAATGAGATAAGTATGTTGTTTAAATTATATACTTTATACTACTAATACTGAAATGGATATGTTTACAAAAATAAAATCTAAAAATGTCTATTAGTTGTCTAGTACTAATAACACAGACTCTGCTTAGTTTGGGACTAGATGGCGCTTTCTTGAAAACTAAGGTTAAAACTAAATTTAGGTGAGTTTTAATATTCGCAGTAATCTCTAGTACTATTGATCTGTTTATGACAATTCTTTGGATAACCTTTTTATCGAAAAAGGCATATATTATTTTTATATATAGGCTATAATATCAAACTACGAACAACGCAAGCGGAGATGTAATAAAAAACGTAGCAAACACGGAGAAAATGTGACGCAGCCGAAGTTGTGCGGGTCAGTAACTAACTGTAAACTAACTGTAGTTTTATACAAAGGAGATATTTACTATGTTAGTATTATTTATTACCTTATATATACATATATATCATACAATTATAAACAATCATAAAACAGTGGAATACTCGACATATTCAAACGAAATTTGCTGAAATTTGATAGATATGTATACAAAATGCTGTCGAAAGTAGTATACTATTTAGTATTTCTTATAAGAAGCCTCCATTTTTTCCGATCAAATAAAATGTAAAATATAATTTTAGGCAATTTTCTTCTTAGTCAAATCTAACTAGAGACATTTCGCTAAAAGTGGGAGTTTACATTTTGGGCACTACGATTATAACCTAACGTTACAATGACTTTGAACGTACGCAATTATTTTGAAGTCCCTTTTATCTATACATATAAATAAAATTGGAGTGTCTGGTTGTAATATTGAAATAACTTTTCTTTACTACATGCATATGAAAGTATATACGGTACATATATAACTAACATTTTTTATAATTTTTGTCTGTCTGTCTGTTTGTTCCGGCTAATTTCTGAAATGGCTGGACCGATTTTGACGGGATTTTTTTTGCAGATAGCTAATGTAATAAGGAGTTAGGATACTTTTATTTTAGAAAAATGAAGTTAAATTCCACGCGGACGAAGTCGCGGGAACAGTTAGTTATTAATAATATTTGACATGCGAAGATACAAAAGTTCAACTGTAAAACATTCACTTTCACTTCGATTAACCATCGACACACATCCCAATGTACTTGAATCGTAAACCTGTATCTCAAGCAAGAAATTGTTTTAAAAATACAAGGAAATATTATAATAATATCATTCTTTTACAGCATTAGAAAGTATATGTAATAAGCTGGCATTTTGGGACCGCGCAGATCGTTTTTTTACATTTATTTTGAACCACAAGTACCACTGATATCATCGGTTTTTCTGTGGATCTAAAAGAGAGCATTGTGGACGTTTAATCGGCAGTGTAAATAAAGATAGTGAATTATATAAGTAAAATATGTATGTATATGTTAAAAGGCTCAAAATCAACAAAACCAACGATACAATATTTATAAATTAAAGATATATCTAGAGTATATCTTATTAATATTATAAACTCGAAAGTTTGTGAATATGGATGGATGTTTGTTACTCTTTCACGCAAAAACTACTGCACGGATTTTGATGAAACTTTATAGTAATATAGCTTATAGATCAGAATAACATATAGGCTATAAATTTCATGTGGTTGAAATCGCGGGCACATCTAGTAATATATTAAGAGAAAACACTATATATTACAAATTAAGAGCAAATATTATCTATAAGATACTATCTGATACGCGCAACTATGTCTGCGTTACATTTTCAGTGGTTTTTCATCATTTTTCATTGCAGTTTGGCTCCTATTGGTCATAGCGTGTTGTTATATGGCCTGTAGCATTCCTAAAAAAATGGGCTAAGTAACACTTTTCAATAAGGTTATATTAAAGTTTCTTAAAGGATGTCACACCCCTGGTGTTTAAGGCTACAATAACCGTTTACCATAAAATAGATCGTATACTTGTCTGCATAAAAAAACATAAAGAAAGAATTAAAATGCGATTCAGTAGATAAGAGACTACTCTCTACAACCTGTGAGGTTTCTTTTAACTTTACCTCTATATAATATTATATTAGTACAGACAATATTAATCAGCTGTGATTAAAATCGACTGCCAATAATAATCTTGAGTCGAGAATCGATATAAATAACAGCGCAGTGCGCAGCACGAGCGCGTCATGAACTTCGGAAGCTTTCACTTTTACTCGGAGACAGGTTGCCAAGTCCAAGTTCGTCTCGTCTTCATGACATTGGTGTGAAGCGCGAAAGTGATCATTAAGTAAGCTGTGTGTTGAGCATTTTTATTCATTTATTTATCATGAATTTTGTTTAATATATTAATTTATTATATTATATTACTAGCTGTCCCGGCAAATGTTGTTTTGCCATATAAATGTAAGTACAGGGGTAAATAGTGGTGGTGGTAGAAGGGTGAAAATTTAGGGTTGTTTTAATGCCAATTCATGTTAAAATAAAAAAAAAAAATCTCAAAAAAAACAAAAATATGTTACCTTATCACAGGGGTATGAAAAATAGATAATAGCCAATTCTCAGACCTACTGAATGTGTATAAAAAATTCATAAAAATCGGTCATGCCACTTCTGAGGAGTATGGTTAGTAACATTGTGGCATAATATTTTATTATATTATATTATAATATTATATTATATATTAATATAATATATATTAGAAATTCAATAACAACTGGTAATATGTACGTATATTACGGTAACCTCGTAACGGGCTATGCTTTACCACTTGTGGTATTAAAAACAAATTAAATAAAGCCATAAATATCTCAATACATCGATATAATATTTATGGTTTTTATGTCTTGTCTTTATAGAGAATTAACTCATTATGTTTTATAATTATTACAAAAAATCTGTTAAAACTTAATTAATACACTATAATCTGTTGCGAAACTAAATTAACTATTAATTATGTAATAAATAAATTAAATTTTAATTAAGTAATAAATTAAAAGGAAAATGAGTCACTTCAACTGGTTTTGATTTAATACGAGGATTCATACTCGACCTGGTTATATCTTATCTAATAAACCTGTAAATTAGTCTCTTTTAGAAAAAAAGTTAGAGAAAAAGATCTATTATAACATAATATAATTGTTTATTATTAATTATAGAAATCAGTTCACTGACAATGTTGTCTGTACACCGTACAATTACGTTCAATTTAAAAAATACTGAAGAAAACTGAAAAGATCAAAAATAATATTAGTTCAATAAATGTATTTTTGAAATTTAATAAACTAAAAATAAATTTATTTAAAACTATTTATCTATATCTTCATTATAACTATTTCATTAATATATAATATTTATTAATATACTATTAGGCTGAAAATCACGCTGGTGTTTTAAATTACATTTTTGACTGTTGGGAGAGGTCACAGGATATCGGAGACCTCTCAAAAGGAACGGCGTTGAGATATTTTTATTGGATAGATTGACTATGATGACTATTTCTAAATAATAAATGAGTTGTTGAAATAAAAAATAACAATTAACGTCTTTTATATCTTTTTATTTTTGTCGTAAAATTTGCTTTAAATATTTTTAGTTAATATATTTTTAATTTAGTTAAAATATTTTCCAAAAAACTACAACTAACAATAGAATTTTTTAAAATGGAGATTCAAAAATCGTATTATAAATTTTACATTTAGACCACTGTTAAACTAGGGGCATCGCAGGTCTAACTTTAGACCATAGACGAATCACGATATAGAGATAAACTTCATTTTGTAATTTGGAATACATTGGTGAATGGTTTAGTTTAGTAAATGGTTAGTTTTAGTTTAGTATGTTTTATAATGTACACAATTTCAGAAGTTATGTAGTTAACATTATTTTATTAACATGTTAATTATAAAAACTTAATTAATACACTTCTATAATCTGTTGCGAAACTAAATTAACTATTAATTATGTAATAAATAAATTAAATTTTAATTAAGTAATAAATTAAAAGGAAAATGAGTCACTTCAACTGGTTTTGATTTAATACGAGGATTCATACTCGACCTGGTTATATATTTATATAAAAAAAAAACCTGTAAATTATTCTCTCTTTAGAAAAAAATAGAGAATCAAAAATGAGCTATTATAACACAATATAATTGTTTATTTATTAATTATATGTATTAATCATTGTTAATAATATTATTATAATACATAATAAAAAAATACATTCTGGATTTCTGCCTAGGCCTGAATATAGTTGACTAGTAAGTTATTAATTTAAAACAGTATGGATTTAAATGTTTTTTCAAAGTGTGTTACTAAAAGAAATTGAAATGTATATGTATTGTAATGTTATTGTATGGATCATTATGTACATGAGCTTGTTACTTAGTTGTTGTTACTATGTATGCTTAAATCTTTAAAACTACGGATTTCGAAGCAGATTTTTTAATAGATAGACTGATTTTAGAGGAAGGTTTACATATATAATACATGTACACCCGTGCGAAGCTGGGGTGAGTAGCTAGTTA